TGCCTGTCAAAAAAAGAAAAGAAAAAAAAGTTACTTATCAATAACTTAACAATCTACCCTCCAAATAAAATAGAAAACTGTAAAATTATAAGGAAAATGATCACATACATGTTTTTAGTGGTAGGACTTTTTTTCTCATTCTTCCCTATGAAACTGATAGTTCTATCAGATATAATTGTTAAAAATAGAAAAATTAGGGTTGATATTGAAGTACAATTGGGCCGGCGCTGCGGCTTACTTGGCTAATCCTCCACCTGCGACACTGGCACCCCAGGTTCTAGTCCCAATTGGGGTGCCGGATTCTGTCCCAGTGGCTCCTCTTCCAGTCCAGCTCTTTGCTGTGGTCCTGGAAGGCAGTGGGGGATGGCCCACGTGCTTGGGTCCTGCACCCGCATGGGAGACCAGGAGGAAGCACCAGGCTCCTAGCTTTGTAGCAGCCATTTGGGGGGTGAACCAATGGAAGGAAGACCTTTCTCTCTGTCTCTCTCTCTTTCACTAACTCTGCCTGTCCAAAAAAAAAATTTTTTTTTTGATGTTGTGGTACAGTAGGGTAAACAATGATCCCATATCAGAATACAAAGTTTGAGTCCTGACTGATACGCTTCCAATCCAGCTCTCTGCTAATGAACCTAGGAAAGCAGTAGAAGATGGCCCAAATGTGTAGATAGATCCCTGCCTTCCTTGTGGGAGGCCTGGATGGGATTTTAGGCTCCTGGCTTCAGCCTGGCCCAACCCTAGTGGTTGTGGCCTTTTGGAGAGTGAACCAGCAGATAGGAGATTGTTTCTCTGCTTTTAAATAATAACATAAATTTTTTTAAATAGAAACATTGTTTTAATGTTACAGATAACTTTCTGTTTCCAGTAAATGTACTTTTTTCTAATAAATGGAACATTATAAAAATTGTACATGTTTCAGGCCACAAAAAATTCCTAAGAGACTCTCAAATTCCTTTTCACTTGACTTATATTCTCTGATCTTTTGCTTTAAAATTACCAATCAACAAAATATTTTTTGATCTGACACATTTAGAAAATGAAGAAAAAATATTCAATTTGTGCAGTTAATAGGCAATCCCAGTAAAAAAAAATTGCAAAGTAGATATTTTGAGCAAGTGTTACTTGTTGTGGGATATACATTTTTAATTTTTGGACATAAATTATTGTAAGTACATTATAAAATTGTGGCATTATCTTAACCATTGTTATTTCAACCATTGGTCAAAACCAAAGGAATGAATAAGGAAGAAAATAATAAGTAGCTTCACACTTTGTATTTCAGGAATTTTATTGGTATGTTGAATCTCTGAACTTCTTCTGACAGCTATGATAATATTTCAAATATGTAGAATTAGCAGTTGCTTTTAAGAGTTAATTGTAGGCCGGCGCCATGGCTCAGTAGGCTAATCCTCCATCTAGCGGCGCCGGCACACTGGGTTCTAGTCCCGGTCGGGGTGCCCGATTCTTTCCCGGTTGCCCCTCTTCCAGGCCAGCTCACTGCTGTGGCCCGGGAAGGCAGTGGAGGATGGCCCAAGTGTTTGGGTCCTGCACCCCATGGGAGACCAGGAGAAGCACCTGGCTCCTGCCTTCGGATCAGCGCGGTGCGCTGGCCGTAGCGTGCCAGCCGTGGTGGCCATTGGAGGGTGAACCAACGGCAAAGGAAGACCTTTCTCTCTGTCTCTCTCTCTCACTGTCCACTCTGCCTGTCAAAAAAAAAAATAAATAAAAATAAAAATAAAAATAAAAGCATCTATGAGAGGAAAGTTTGTTTGTTTGATTTTGACAGGCAGAGTTAGTGAGAGAGAGAGAGACAGAGAGAAAGGTCTTCCTTCTGTTGGCTCACCCCCAGATGGTTGCTATAGCCAGCGCGCTGTGCCGATCGGAAGCCAGGAGCGAAGTGCTTCCCCCTGTTCTCCCATGCGGGTGCAGGGCCCAAACACTTGGGCCATCCTCCACTGCCTTCCCGGACCACAGCAGAGAGAGAGCTGGACTGGAAGAGGAGCAACCGGGACAGAATCTGGCGCCCCAACGGGGACTGGAACCCGGGGTGCCGGTGCCGCAGGCGGAGGATTAGCCAAGTGAGCCACGGTGCCGGCAGTCCAAAAAAAAAGAGGGAAGATTTGAAAGATCAGTTATGCTTTGGTCCCTGCTTAGTAAACAATATTCAGTCAGTTCCTTATTTTAGACATTAAGTGTTTAATGAGGTGCAAAAATGGACATGATTGCCACTCTTAAAGAACTTACTGTTTAGTGAGAGAGATATGTTAACTAAATACTTAAACTAACATGATTGCAGTTTATGAAAGTTCATGAAATTATAAATCTAGTAAGAGTGATCTAGTCATTAGACCTAAGAACTGTAGGTTAAAAACAATTTAGTGGAGATGTATCATAAAGAAGGGCCAGCATAAGGTGGGGCAGGTCAGGGTGGAGAATAACAAACTGCTAAAGGTGCAGTTAAGTTTGAGGATCTGCTTGATTGTAATGATAGTCCAGAAATAAGTTGAGTGGGGCCAGTGCCGTTGCATAGCGGGAAAGCTGCCGCCTGCAGGGCTGGCATCCCACATGAGTGCTGGTTTGAGTCCTGGCTGCTCCACTTCCTATCCAGCTCTCTGCTATGGCCTATGAAAGCAATAGAAGATTTCCCAAGTGTTTGGGCACCTGCACCCATGTGGGAGACGTGGAAGAAGCTCCTGGCTGCTGGCATTGGATTGGCGTGCAACTTTGGCCATTGTGGCCATCTGGGAAGTGAACCAGTGGATGGAAGACCTCTCTCTCTCTACCTCTGGCTCTCTGTAACTCTGCCTTTCAAATAAATAAATAAATCTTTAAAAAAAAATAAATTGAGTGGAAAAGCTGGACAATTTTCTAGATCTTTCTGACTAAGGTCTCAGGTATAGTTTATATTTTGTTTTAAATAAATTGCCAGGATGTTAGATTTACCTCCATTTAAATGTAAGTTCAAAATCTAAAGCCTTTTTTATATTACTTATATTTATTCATTCTTCTATAATGTATAGCTAATAGATTTTTGTTTAATCAATGTGTATAACAAATCAAAATATAAGATAATTTTTGTAGGCAGTTGAGCAGTGAACTATCAAGATGTAAAAAAAAAAAAAATACCTCTTTTATAGTGGAATTCCTGTCATTACACTCCAAAGTTCTCATTGGGTTGACATTCTACTCTTATTGTTATTTTGCCTGAGTTACAGGTAAAATACAGTTTAAAAAACACTAAATTGTATTCTGTTGGCAGAGTGCCTTTTTTTTTTTAAGAAACAAGCTTTTATAATGTTTAGAAAAACTAGTAAAGCATATTGCCAAATTGTGCAGTCTCTTGATGAGAAAACATCTTTCGTATCAATATATATTTAAATAAAGTTAAATTACACTTAAATAAGGTTCTGTGGTTGGAAACATCTCCCTCCCATGCTGATTTTGGCTTTGAAAGGGAAGGGTCAGGCAGGCCCCAAGGCTCACTAGTCTAATCTTCTGCCTGTGGCGCCAGTACTCCAGGTTCTAGTCCCGGTTGCACCTTTTCCAGTCCAGCTCTTTGCTGTGGCTCGGGAAGGCAGCAGAGGATGGCCTAAGTGCTTGGGATTTGGGGGGTGAACCAACGGAAGGAAGACCTTTCTCTCTCTCTCACACTAACTCTGCCTGTCAAAAAAAAAAAAAAAAGAAGAAGGGTCTTTGAGTCCAGCATTAGCCTGAGGTGAAGGCCCTAGGGCAGCCTGAAACTTCTTCAGTACAGAATAGTGACCAGAACTGACCAGAACTACCAGCAAGGGTGAGTACCTTTTTTTTTTTTTTTTTTTGACAGGCAGAGTTAGACAGTGAAAGAGAGAGAGAAAGGTCTTCCTTTTCCATGGGTTCACCCACTAAGTGGCTGCCACAGTGGGCGTGTTGCGTCGACCTGAAGCCAGGAGCCAGGTGCCTCCCCCTGGTCTCCCATGCAGGTGCAGGGCCCGAGCACTTGGGTCATCCTCCACTGTACTCCTGGGCCACAGCAGAGAGCTGGACTGGAAGAGGAGCAACTGGGACCAGAACCTGGGGTGCGGTGCCGCAGGCAGAGGATTAGCCTAGTGAGCCATGGCGCCATCCAAGTACCTATTTTTTAAATTGACTGATCCTTTGGGGAAAAAATAATTTAAAAATAGTAAATTGACTCTGTGGTTACTAAACGATTTTCTGAATTGATTAAAAGAATAGAGCTGAATTAAAGCTTTATATAACAACCATTTATCAACTTTTCTTTATAACAACAGAAATTTGAATTTGTATACATAGTGAGAGAAGAACTAGGTGAGAGAACTTTTCATAGCAGTAAAGTATCAGCTACATGATAATACTGATTATGAATGTAATGAGAATTCATGATTGTCCTGTCAGACAGTACTACTCCTTTTAGTGGCATTTGATAAGTCACCATTAAGAAACTACTTTATCATTTGTTCATCTTGCTGGCAAACTTCTGGAAAGAATAAAAACCTTTCTGCTATTATAAGATTCCATCTTTTACTTTTGACTATATTATTCTGGTATTTAATTCCTACTATTTAAAAAATATATGCCCATTAATATCTTTTTCTTTTTCTTTTTTCTTTTATCCCTAAAATACCATAGTTTCTCCTACAGGGATTTGTTTCTGTTGAGAGAGCTCTTTTTGGCTTCTGATATCAGATCCAGGTCCTTCTAATCATAGTTCACATAAATAGTTGGGAAAACATACTTTTAGCCTTAGAATTAGAAATTTGCAGTCATTTCTAATAAGTAGTAAACATTAGTATTATCTTAACTGGTTATTGTTTGGTATATAAAACAGAACTTGTTCACAAAAAGGTATACCATTAATTACAAATATTTGAAGGAATTAAGATAATATGAGTGGCTACATTGAGTATTACATTCTTATTATTTCTCTAACAGTACTAAATGTTTAAAAGGTGATTAATCAGTTGGCCTTGATGGATTATTGATTATTTTTTCTGTTTCTTTAACAGGAGCATGAATCTGAAGGTGGAAGAACCCCTTTGATGAAAGCTGCAAGAGCTGGTCATTTGTGTACTGTGCAGTTTCTTATTAGTAAAGGTAAAGAAAATACAAGTAATAATTTCCAAGAGGCTACAATTTCTAGAAATAAAGATTCAAAATGTTTGCAGTTTATGTTAAAACTGCTTTCCTAAAGTATAACTGTTGTATTCTAGTCTTTTGTTGGTTTATTTTGTTAATCTAGCATAGAGTTTGTGAGGTAAAGGAATTTTAGTAGTTTTGAGTTTTAAATTTCTGTCAATAAAATGGCATATGATTATTCCCTAAAATTGGAAAAGCCAAATGTGAAGTGTCTAGCTGTGTTCACGTAAATGTTCAACACTTAATGATAGGCATTTCTTTTGGATGTAGAGGTGAAGGACAGAGAGAAAGTCTGCTATGGTGGTACTTGTTGTGGTACATTTTAATTAACTGAGTATCCAAGGATCTTATTTATTTTTATATTCCTCTAAAAAATATTTGGTATAGGAGAATATATATAAGCAAAGAAGTTCAGGTGATGGATGAAGAATTAGTTGGAGGCTATTTACTATAGAAAAGTGAAATGATGCTGAACTCGTATTAGGTCAAGCTATATAAACTTGTCATTTTACAGGTCAAAAATGCTAATGTCAGGAATTTCATTTGACTCTTTGTAATAGTATCAGAAGTACTGTGATATCTTATGAAAGATCCTAGGATAGGAAAGTAAAATACAGGAAAGATCTACTCAGGTGGTATCATGTTTAAAATAAAAATTTTGCATCTGTACTCTGACAGAATTCTGATATTTTATAACATTAAAAATGCAGTGTAGGGACTGTCATTGTGGCATAATAGCAGGTTAAGGCACTGCCTGCAATACTAGTATCCCATATGGGCGCCAGTTCTTGTCCCAGCTATTCTACTTCCAATCCAGCTCCCTGCTGAAGGGGAAAGCAGTGGAAGATGACAGTGGTGCTTGGATCCCTGCACCTGAGTGGAAGACCCATAGGAAGCTCCTGGCTCCTAGCTTCAGCCTGGCCTAGCCCTGGCTGTTGCAGATGGAAGATCAATCTCTCTCTCTCCCTTCTCTTTCTGCTTAACTGGACTTTCAAATAAATAAATCTTTAAAAAAAAAAAAAAAGCTAGTGTAAAACAAAAAGTAGTGTGAAATTTTATCTCTTAGAGATACTTGTTTTCTTTAATTAGATAAACTAGGTTGATTTGCTTTATATTACATTTTTATTGCCAATTAATGTATGTATTTTTACATAATGTTTTATAATATTATCTGTGAAATCTATTTACCTCAACCACACAGAAGTGAGAAATAGATGAATAACTTTTTGAGCTCTTTTATGCCTCTTTACTAAAAAAGAGCATCTGATCATACCCAAACATTGATTATAGCCTTTCTAGGTTATAGTAATTGCTAAACAATACTACCTTCTAGTTTATGGTTAACAACTTTAAAAATAATCTCACGTTGCTCATGTAAGGATGTTCATTGCTTTGTCTTATTCTTTCTAAAAGGTTCTTTTGAGAAGTTAGGATTAGGTACATCTGGATGTTTTCTGAAAATTAAATAAATTCAAATAGTTGTTTCACGTATTGGCTTATTTTCCTGTTACATAAGTGAGTCTAAAATTAATGAAGAATGCATATTCATAATAAACTTTCTAGCTGAAAACTTTAGAAGTTATAGCTGAACTGAAAACCAGTACTTTATCAAGGGGTCAAAAATCATTTTTTAAAAAAGAGGCAGGGGGCTGGTGCCTTAGCTCACTTGGTTAATCCTCCGCCTGCGGCTCCCGCATCCCATATGGGCTCCAGCTTCTAGTCCCGGTTGCTCCTCTTCCAGTCCAGCTCTCTGCTGTGGCCCGGGCGGGCAGTGGAGGATGGCCCAACTACTTGGGCCCCTGCACCCGCATGGGAGACCGGGAGGAAGCACCTGGCTCCTGGCTTCAGGTCAGCGTAGCTCCGGCTGTAGTGGCCATTTGGGGAGTGAACCAACGGAAGGAAGACCTTTCTCTCTGTCTGTCTGTCTCACTGTCTATAACTCTACCAGTCAAATTAAAAAAAAAAAAAAAAAAAGAGTTCTGTGTGCTTCCTGTACTTGGACCTTCCTTTCTTAAAAAATAAAAATAATTAAAGAGGCTAAGAAAATATTGTGTATTTAGATTTTTCTTCAGGTCCTATTGTACAAAGCTGTTGAACAACTTACTAAATAGCCTTTGGATAATCTTCTGTCTTCTCCATATCCATGTTGTCTGGCCCTTAAAATCCATGACATAAGGAATTACATATCACTTAACTACAGGTTTAAAAACGTCTGTTTCTCTACTTTCAGATCTGGCTGTTTTGCCACTTTCTGGGTCAAAAGTGTCTTTGAAACATTTTGAGAGTTACATACAATGGTATTACTTGATGCTTATGTTAACCTGTATGTATTTATCAATCTTAGTCTTCTAGATTTTCCATTTTAAAAGTGATATTGAATGAACGAGCTGCAACTGCACGCAACAATTGTGGATGAATCTCACAAATATAATATTGAGCGAAAGAAGCCAGACACAAAAGAGTACCTTGTATGATTTCATTCATATAAAACTCAAAAACTAAAACCAGTTTGAAAGTCAGGGTAGTAGTTACTCTTGTGGGGAGGTACTGACTGAAAGGGGGCACAAGATGGAACTTTGGTATGTGGAGAATGTCCTGTTTCTTGATCTGGGTGCTGGTTACACAGGTGTGTTCACTTTGTGAAAAATTTGTGAACTATTTGTGAACTTTTTGATTCATGTACTTTTTTTTTATCTGTTACACTAAAAAGATCTTTAAAATGTTACTATTTGTGCACTGGCCTGATTTTACTCTTTTCTGAGATTGTTGTTTATTTTTATTTGAAGGTGCCAATGTGAATAGGGCTACAGCCAATAATGACCATACAGTAGTGTCGTTGGCATGTGCAGGAGGCCACCTGGCAGTAGTTGAACTACTCTTGGCTCATGGTGCTGATCCTACTCATCGACTCAAGGTATTTTACTGTAAAATAGTCAATCAAGTAATATGCATTATTATAGAAACACGTTTTATTTCTTAGTACTTACTGCTGTTGTTTAAATATTTGATTTGTGCAAGCTGCTAAGAAATTAAATGTGTATATAAATCAAATTATAAGAATATATTTATAAAGAATTAATTATGATGTTAAATTTTTCTCAGGATGGCTCCACAATGCTCATTGAAGCAGCAAAGGGTGGTCATACTAATGTTGTTTCTTATCTATTGGATTATCCAAATAATGTTCTGTCAGTTCCTACTACAGATGTATCTCAGCTTACCCCACCTTCTCAAGATCAATCTCAGGTAAAATAAGAGCTTATTGGTTAATATAAATATTCTTCAAAGTGATTGGAAGTTTTTATTTGAATCCGGTTTTAAGCAAAATGAGTTTGTTTTCTGTTACATACTAAGGTGATCATGATGTTAAATTCTTTTTAAGATTTTTTTTCTTCAAGATACATGGAGTGTTTATTATCTCATTTAGTTAAAATAGGGGTTTTTAGAAATCACTTAATAGCAGACATTAATATAAATATTCCAAGTTATTGTCATGCTACAAGTAAGTTTTTTTCTTTGTTTTTTAATGAGATTTTTGAGTGTGATCTTGAACCAAAAGAAGTTTTTTCCTTAATACCTCACAAGGGAGTTTTAATTATCTTAGTGATAGTGACTTTTGTCAACCAAGAAGGTGTAATTGGCCAGGGTACTTGATTTAAAAATATTTTAAAGTAACTATCTGAAATTATGGAAAGATTACAGAGAAAACACTTAAGTGTATTAATTTCATTGGAATCTCAAATTCTGTTCTACAGTTATTTTGAGAACTGCTAACATACCTTAAGTCAGGAAATATGTTTGTTTTTATTTTTCGTTTGACCCATGTAGAATTTGAACATGAGTAAATTGGCAAGTGAATACTGAATATTCAACTTGTACTCCAAGGTATAATTGGGACTAACAAGACATTCGCTTTAGCAAGAGAGTACTATTAGTTCCATTTAGTTTCATTCACTCACAATAATCTACATAATTATAGATTAAGTCTGCCCAATAAATATTCTCAGAAATTATTCCTTGCTGAAGCGAAGCTTATATTTTTAAGCTCTAAGAAATAAAGTGAAAGTGGTGGTATATGATGAAAATCTAAAACAGCATCATTGTTTTATTTATGGTTCTTTGTTTTCTTCCTTGATCTGAGATATTTTTTTTGTGAGTTGATTTTTTAGGTTCCACGTGTACCAGTGCATACACTTGCCATGGTTGTACCTCCACAGGAACCTGACAGAACTTTGCAGGAGAACTCTCCTGCCCTTATAGGACTACAGAAAGGTTAGCTATTAAATTATTTTCCTTAAAATACTTATTTTTAACCTAATTAAGAAATAAAGTGCTTTAAAGTTAATGATATGCAATACTATATAGTTTTTGTTAGTTGAGGTAGATAATTCTCACAAATTAAATATTCTTAGTCTATTAAAATAGAAAAGATATAAGTACTAGAAAAAAGGCTTACTGTTTTTCTGTTAATGTATTGCTGGGTTTACCCTATATCTGGCGTAGATGAAAATACTTAGGCAAACTAAGTTCCTGATAATATTAAAGTAGCAAGTATCTTTAATGATATGATTTAAGAAAAATTAAGTATAGGTGACTATTAAAACAACAAACAAACTTCTTTCAAATTATGCCAATTTTAGTAACTAAAAGTATTATAGGCCTTTGCCAAAGATTGCTTAGATTCTAGAGTATTAATTTCAGATACGAAATATCTATCTGTAGTCTCTCTAACTTCAGCTAATTCTAGCGCTTTTCTATTGGATACTTAACTATTCAAACTTTTCCTGCGTTTTTAAAATTAATCTTAACAATTTAATCATAACCAGTTGATAGGCATTATTAAAATATTTAAAACCAGATGGCCACTATTTTTGTTGTTTTTGTTTGGCTAAACCCTGTGGCTTGGGAAAAGGAAATAATTTTAAAAATGAACATAGAGTCAATAAAATGACAGAGGAATATGCTAGATAAAATATCTATAGATAGAAAATGAAATATTTTAAAGTTAATATGTAAGCAAACTGAAATGTTTGCGTAGTGATTTTAAGTTGATACTCAAATGTCATTTTTCCTTACTTATGTATCTTACATAAGTGTCTTATGCAGAGTATCTTATTTTCTTTAATGTTGTATTATTTGCTGAATAGTGTAGAAATGAACTAACCCTAAGGAATCTTTCATTTTACTAAATTATTAAGGAAGAAAAAAATACTTGTATCCAGACACTTGTGTGTTTTCTGTTGCCCAGCTCCCAAGTGGCATTGCCAACCTAACGATTATTTATGCAGGACCAAGCTTATATTACACGGTGTTAAGGTGTCATTTTAGTACAAACCATATTTATCACAGAATATTTTGGGGCTATGAGTTAGAAAAAACCAACTGATGATTTAAAAGCACACAATGAATTACCAAGATAGGAAAAATCCTATCTAAGTAATTAAAGATATAGTATTTTTTTTTCTACTGAAATTGTCTTTTAAATCTCCAGCTCCTTTGAGCAATAAAATTGCTGCTTTACTGTTTTGAGTCTTCTCAGTCCATATATCACTTCTCTGTAGTATATATAATTAGAAATAGATTCTTATTCTTCAGGACTCTTCCTCTTCTAGCAATTAGTCCTTTCAGGGTCTTTCATTTTACTGTTGTTTGTTTCAAATAAATAAATGCTTTTATTACTTATATTCTCATCCTTTTAAAATATATTTGTACCCTTAAATTTTTTTCTTTTTTAAAAAGATGTATTTATTTATTTGAAAGGCGGAGTTACAGACAGGCAGAGGTGGTGGGGGGCCTTCCGTCTGCTGGTTCACTCCCCAAATGGCCGTAACTGCAGGAGCTAGGATGATCTGAAGCCAGGAGCTTCTTCTGGGTCTCCCATGCGGATACAGAGGCCCAGGCACTTAGTCCAATTCTACTGCCTTCCCAAGCTATATCAGAGAGCTGGATTGGAAGTAGAGCAGCAGGATTTAGAACTGGCACCCACATAGGATGCTGGCACTGCAGACGGTGGTGGCTTTACCTGCTACGCCACAGCACTGGCCCCTGCATACACCCTTAAATATTACCCATGAATTTGACATACACCCTACTCAGATATTCTTTCCTTTGTTTGTTTTACTAGTCCATTCAACAAAAGGCATTATTGAGGTTGCTCATGGTGCTTGAGCAGGAGGCTACCCTGTGGGGGAGGGTCCTTATTTGACTTTGTCAGGGAGGAAGTTGTTGGTGTGACCACATTTCTTCTTGTGGCGGTTGACAGCAGAGTCGTGCAGGCAATGTAAGGCTGCAGATGATCTTGTTGCATTTATACTGCAGCATGAGCTGATGGAGAGAGGACTCGATGATGTCTCCTTAAAAGTGAAGCACTGGCTGCAGGGTGGACTCATTCTGGATATTATAGTAGGAAAGAGTGTGGCCATCTGCCAGCTGTTTGCCAGCAAATATCAGATGCTGCTGGTCAGTCAGGATGTTCTCTTTGTCTTGGATTTTGGCTTTGACACTCTTGAGGGCGATGGTTTTGCCCTTCAGGGTCTTCACAAAGATCTGCATCTCTGTGCACTTGACTTCTTTGTTAAAAACAGGTACTCTTCTTTCATGCCCCTTATATACCATTTTGTAAGCTCTATCCTTCTTGATCCATATCCTCCTGGTTGAGGCAGTTGATCTCATTTATCAATTGTTGATCTTCAAGAATTTAAGATCCTAAGGGCTGACATTCCCGTATCACCACCAGTGTGTGGTCTGGCTCTTCTACTTTTGATCCAGCTCCGTGCTAATGCTCATGGGAAGGCAGCAGAAAAGATGGCCCAAGTCCCTGGGCCCCTGCATCTGCATGGGAGAGCCAGATGGAGTTCCAGGCTCTTGGATTTGACCTGGCCCAGCTTGTGCCATTGAAACAATTTGGGGAGTGAACTGATCAATGGAAGACCATCTTTTTCTCTCTTCCTCCCTCTACCTCCTTCCCTCATTATCTCTCTGTAACTCTGACTTTCAAATAAATAAATAAATCTTAAAAAAAAAATTCAAGATTCTAAGTGGCATTTCACAGAGGCCTCAGTATCACCTCTCTAACAAAATATACAACTGAGAGTGGTATGTTCAGTTTTCTAGCAGTACTTAGCTTTATTAATTATAGTAATAAATATTAGGTGGGAAAGAATAAGTGAGTTAATGTAAAACTTTTGCCTTTTAAAGGCAGTTGTGTAAACTTGATTGCAGCCACATTTGTTATTTATTTATTTATTTGAGAGAGTTGCCATGTACTGGTTCATTCCCCAGATGCTCACAGTGACCTGGGCCCACCTGGACTAAGGGTTAAATGTAGAACTGAAAAACTCAGTCCAGGTCTCACACATGGTGCCTTCCAGGGTCTGTTTGAAGAAAATGGAGTTAGGAGAGGAATTGACTGTCAGACCTAGGCACTCCAGTGTGGAACATGAAGATCTTAACCACAGGGCCGATACATACCCCTGCTTTTTGCATCTAACTGTCATTCTGGAAAAGAAGACTCATTTTGATCTGCAAAACTTACAGCTTAGACCTGATCTGCTACAGAACATTGAAATAATGACAGGAAACATAAAACATACCTCAAGCCCGCTAGAGTATTAATATCTTTTCTCTGAATTTCTGTGGTATTTTATTGGCATCCTTCTGGCTCTTGTCTTTCCCACACATTCCTTTCTCCTTTGGACCCCAAATATAGACGGCTATATCAGTTATACTCAGTTCTTGGTGCTTCATAATGATTGATTGGTTTTTGTTTTGTTTATTCTCTTTTATCCCTCTTTGCATTCTCCTACTTTTCCCATAAGCAGTCATTCTAAAGTTTTTGATGTGCACAGCCTTTTGTTCTTAAAAGTTCTTATAAAATGTTTACTACTTTGTGTATATTTTAAATTTGCATAAATGGTGTTGTGCTGTAGATGCCCTTTGTTTTTTACTTTTTTACTCAACACTGTTTTTATGATCTGTCCATGTGTCTATCTCTAGATTGTTTATACCTGCAACACAATACTTTACCTTTTGTATCCTCCGTATTTTACTTTTTCTTTCTCCCGGTGATGGGTGGGTACCCAGGTTGCCTTAAATTCCTCATCAACACAGAAAGTTCTTTGATGAAAATCTTTGTATAGTATAAGGATTTCTGTGGAATGTTATCTCTCTTCTTAGACTGTAAGCTCCTCAAGGGCAGGATTTACATTGCTTGTCTCTGTGTGGTCCACCATGCCTTACTTGTTAGAGATTCAAGTAGTTGTTGAATGAATTTAGTGACAGGCCATGAATATAGATTATCCTGAAGGCAGAAGAAAATTATTAAGAATTTTTAAGAAGAGAGATACTGTGATGGAAAAAGAATGTTTAAAAATGTTAAGCAAGAAGTATTATTCCAGAGTGGTGAGAAAAAGATTGAAGATAGAAGTTTAAGTGTAAATAATTGAATTAAGGGGCCGGTGCTGTGGCATAGTAGGTAGGGCTGCTGCCTGCGGTGTCGGCATCCCATATGGGCACTGGTTGAGTCTCAGCTGCTCTACTTCAGATCCAGCTCTCTGCTGACCTGGGAGTGCAGCAGAGGATGGCCCAAGTCCTTGGGCCCCTGTACCCGGTTGGGAGACCCAGAGGAAGCTCCTGGGTCCTTGCTTCGAATAGGCACAGATCTGGCTGTTGTGGCCATTTGGCCATTATTTTTCTATTGCAGAGTATACTGATTAGATACAAAGATGGCAGAATTAAGCTCATTTCATCAGTGAACTAAATATTGGACCTGTATATGTTCACCCCATTCCCTCATTGTGCATTTAAAAAAAAAAGCTGTTTATCTCTATGTCGTGGTTGATGCTATAAACTTTTTGTAGTTTTGTTGATGGGAGAAAAGTGAGAAGCAAAGGGAATAGAATAGAAATTTTAAAAAAGATGGTGACTTTATTCCTATTTCTAAATAATATTTTATAATATTACTCAGTGATACTGTTTCTGTCACACACAAACATACACACGTTTTTGATTGACTTGAGAGACAGAGAGAGCTCCCATCTCCTGGCTTACTCACCAAATGCCCATAACTGCTGGGACTGGGTCAGGCCAAAATCTGGAGCCAGGAAATCAATCCAGGTTTCCCATCTGGATGGCAGAAGCCCAATCACTTGAACATTCATCACTGCCTGCCAGGGTCTACATTAGCAGCAACCTAGAGTCAGGAGTCAGAACCAGGTCAGAACCCAGGTACTTACTATAGTTGTCATTCTAACCATTAGGCTAAATGCCTGCCCCTGTATAGATTTATTTATTTGTGTCTGACAGTGGGAGATGTCTAGAGGAGATGGAACCCTTTTATTTTCTGGTGTGTTATATTACTGTCTACTACCTGTTGAAAATAATATTGCTTAAAAGAACACTTGTCACAATCTCTACCCAATAATTGGTGTTGTTTCAGCTTCTAGGAAAGATTAGGTGACATTCTATTTTTTTCCCCACCAACTTGGTTTATTCTTGATACTAAGCTTAGGTTACTGCTTTGATGTGTATCTAGGCAATTCCACCAACTCCATGGTTGCAGACATTCAGCCATTCACACTTTGAGGAAGAACTGCTTTTTGTACATTACTTGTCATTGTCTTACATTATTTAATGCTATGTTTGTTCTGGGAAGGTCCCCCTATCCAGTTAAATAAATTATTCTTAGTTATTTTGTGCTTCAAGCTTCTTGCATATTTATTAACAAGCTGGGTACATTCCTGTTATTATCCTCAAAATCCCATTCTCATTTTGGGTCATCTATTTTTAAAGATTCAAAATATGTAAATGTCCAATCTGGTTAGTGTTTAATGTAGAAAGGTATTTTGAAATTAACAAATGTAAAGGAATAGTCAGTTTTCTCAGAACTTCTAAAATTCTGTGTTGATGTCTGATGTTGATGTTTTATTACACAACTGAAAATTTATTTACCCTGCAAGTTGATTTATACATTGCTTTCTCAAAGCAGTGCATCTCCTTTTTCTTATTTATTGATTGTCATTGAACACTTCAAACGAAAAAACATGGATATACGGCCTTTTTGTAAAGATTTATTTTATTTTAGAGTTACAGAGAGAGAGGGGAAGAAAAGAGATCTTCCATCTGCTGGTTTACTTCCCCAGATGGCTGCAATGGCTGGCGCTGGGCCAGGCCAAAGCCAGGAACCAGGAGCTTCTTCCCTGTCTCCCACATGGGGCCCACGTACTTGAGGCATTTTCCACTGCTTTTCCCAGGCCATTAGCAGGAAGCTAGATCAAAAGTGAAACAGCCGGAACTCAAACTGGCACCCATGTGGGATGCCAGCAACACAGGTAGCAGCTTAACCTGCTATGTCACCACACCAGCCCCAGATTTAAGGTCTTATAGAAGTAGTGAATCTAGTCTTTACCTGACATTTTGTTCAGATAGAAATATAAAGTTGAATATAGATAATATTACTTGGCTGAAGTTTGCTTTTAGGGAAAAATTAACTCCTTGGATCCTTGCACCCACATGGGAGACCTGGAAGAAGTTCCTGGCTCCTGCCTGGCCTAGCCACAGTTGTTGCAGGCATTTGGGGAGTGAACCAGAGGATAGGTGATCTGTCTGTCTCTCCTTCTCTGTCTTTCAAATGAGTAAATATAAATCCTTAAACAAAAGTATTAAATTGCCATGTTATTCGTGTATCTTAACTGCACTCAAGAAAACTGGACAATTTTTTTTTTACCTAGTCTTTATACAGGTTTTTTTGTTTTTTGAGAGTGTTTTACATAGCATACTCATTTTAGATATGTAGTGCAGTGAGTTTTAGTAAATTTACCAAGAAGTATAGCCATCATTATCTGGTTTTACAACTTTTCCAGCCGGTGCTGCGGCTCACTAGGCTAATCCTCCACCTGCGGTGCCGGCACCCCAGGTTCTAGTCCCAGTTGGGGCACCGGATTCTGTCCCGGTTGCCCCTCTTCCAGGCCAGCTCTCTGCTGTGGCCCAGGAAGGCAGTGGAGGATGGCCCAAGTGCTTGGGCCCCTGCACCTACATGGGAGACCAAGGGGAGGCACCTGGCTCCTGGCTTCAGATCAGTGTAGCTACGGCCGTAGCCGCCATTTGGGGGTGAACCAACGGAAGGAAGACCTTTCTCTCTCTCTCTCACTGTCTAACTCTGCCTGTAAAAAACAGACAAACAAACAAAAAAACTTTCCATCCTTCCTAAATGAGCACTCGTTTCTGTTTGGAATTGATCCTTATTTTTACTGCTATAAACCCTGGCAACCACTACTCTACTTTCTGTTGCTGTAGATGTGCCTTTTTTACTATAAACTTGATGTAATTGGCATTATACAATATGAGGTCTTTTGTATCTGGATTTTTTTTTTAACTTTACATGATGTTTTTGAGGTCATCTATATTGTAGTATGTGTCAGTAGTTTATTCCTTCCTGTTGCTAAGTTGTCTGAGTTCTTACTAAGCAAGAACTTTGAATTTTCTGCAGAATAAGTTATTGTACATCAAAAAGCATATTTCCTTAATTTAATTCCTAGTTGTTAGGGTTGTCAATATTAATAATTATTTTTTAATGGACTTGTTATAAGGGGAGTAGTTTAAGTGTAATTTAAAACCTTAAAATAACTATTTTCCTTCATTTTTAGCCTCACTATCATAATGGGTAATCCTATATGGATTCATCATTGTCTTTCTCATAGGTAGACTTTATTTGAAGTGTTTTTATTTGAAATTAGGATAATTGTCCTTTGTCAGTAAGTTTAAAGTAATGTTTGGGTACAGAAGTGTTAAATACTTAGTGGAGAATTTTAGAAAGATACATCTTGGAAAAAATGATTTCCATTATGTTTTCATATAGTAAGAGAAATGTTTTTTCCCACCTTGAAATTCAACACTTATGCTTACTTTGAAGTGTAAACTGAGTCTCTTGTAGTAGGCTTTACTTGTGTAGTTAATGTTGTTAAAAGAACAGTTATTCTAAATGAACAGTGAAACTAACATTAATGGTATCCTCAACCCTATTTTGTTACTCCTAAATGTTCTTTTTTAAATATCCAATCTAATCAAAAGGATTTTGAGATTGTTTCCTCTTTATTTTCCTTTCTCTGCCTTGATTTTCTTATTTTTGAAAATCCTCCTAAAGACAAGGTTTTTAAAAATTCACATTTTGAATTGGCAGCATCCTAGATTGTGCTGTGTGAAATAGCTTAGTATAGGTTTTAATTGGCCTGACACTTGTGTGACTCTTTGAACATTCATTCTGCAGCATTAGTTATAAGGGCTTTGTGGGGGGAGGTCCATATGTGTGGGAGGAGGGAGTGATTTTTTTTTTTTTTTTAGCATGGCACTTTTTCAAACATTTTTCATGTGCTTAGGTCCATCCAAGCAGAAGTCCAGTTCCCTGCAGGTAGCAGATCAGGACCTACTGCCACCTTTTCACCCATACCAGCCTTTGGAGTGCATAGTAGAGGAGACTGAAGGCAAGCTGAATGAACTGGGACAAAGAATTAGTGCTATTGAAAAAGCACAGCTTAAGTCATTGGAGTTAATTCAAGGTGAACCTCTGAACAAAGATAAGATAGAAGAACTTAAAAAGAACAGAGAAGAACAAGTCCAGAAGAAGAAGAAAATACTGAAAGAACTGCAGAAAGTGGAAAGGCAGTTGCAAATGAAAACACAGCAGCAATTTACCAAAGAATACTTGGAAACCAAAGGTCAGAAAGACACAGTGTCGCTACACCAGCAATGCTCTCATAGAGGAGTCTTCCCGGAAGGGGAAGGAGATGGTAGTCTCCCAGAGGATCACTTTTCAGAGTTACCTCAGGTTGACACAATCTTATTTAAAGATAATGATGTTGACGATGAGCAACAGCCTCCACCATCGGCAGAACAAATTGATTTTGTCCCGGTCCAGCCTTTATCATCTCCACAGTGTAACTTTTCCAGTGATTTAGGTTCTAACGGGACAAATTCTCTTGAACTTCAGAAATTATCAGGTAATCAGCAGATTGTAGGACAGCCTCAGATTGCTATTACTGGACATGATCAGGGGCTGTTAGTTCAAGAACCAGATGGACTAATGGTGGCAACTCCAGCCCAGACGCTTACCGACACTCTTGATGACCTGATAGCAGGTGGGTTAAGAAATGTATCTGTAATAGTTTCTCTTTAATCTCTGTTCTCAACTTCCTTACATGTCCCTCCAAAAACATATACTTTATACTTTCCCATTTTAGAACTATCTTTGTAAAATTACTTGTTTCTTATATTTTGGAAATGAATTTAACCAAGTTCAACAGCACTAACACACAAAAGTATGTTTCCAACTCTTCATTTTTGTCATACTGCAAAGGCAAAGAAATAAAATGGCCATACTCCTTTAGGGTTTAAGGATATTTGCATAAGATTATACATTAAATTGTCCTGGTGATTTTCATGTTTAGAAATCATAATTTTAAATAGCATTGCTTTTTCTGTATAAGTTTATTAGATGAGTTTCAATATTTCTAATTAAATGAGATGTTCAGAAAAAAGTTAGCATTGCAGTTAAAATATTTGTGGTTAGAAAATTAATGTACATTGAAATTGCTACCACTTAATGATTTTGAGAATGGGATTTTTACATTACCTTTGTCTATGAAAACACACAGACATATCAAACACACAAACACACACATACACTCCCAAACACCAACATGCATTTTTGTAAAGAATAAAAAGAAAGGCCTTATAACCTTAAAGTATATGTTTCTGTTTATTGTTGTGTGGAAAATTACAACTAGATTTGAAATGAGGTGCACAAGTTTACTTTCCCTTTCATTGTCCTTGCAGCAGTGGGAAAACAGTGCAATTAATCATTTACCTTCCTAAAGATGGCTGGTGAATGTATCACCTCCATGAGAGCCCAGTTCAGAAATGCAGCCAGAATGGCTGTTGACAGTGGATGAAGACCAACAACTAAGATGTAGCTGGAGTGATATTCAAAGGCAGGCCAGTCCTCTGTCTCTTGATTGCAACATTTTTTTTCCCTTACTGTTGTCTGTTTCCGCTTGTCATTCTCTTCCCCTCCTCCCATCCCAGTAATGCTATCCCAGTTTTCTTTCTTCTTTTGTGAGCCCTTATCTTCCTAATCTTTACTGGATCTTTAAAAATGTGAAATAAGATTGCATAAATCAGGAATTTTATTGGGCATGTGTGTGACTTCCAATGGTTATAGAATTGTGACTGCCTTTGAGGCTTCTTTGATAAGTAAGGTATTGCTGTGCAGAGGAAGAATGTCTTAGTTTCTTAAAGAAAGTAAAATGCTGTGAAGTATTTTGAAGAGTTAGGTTCTTTATTCTTTAATTCGGGTTTTTATAGCTTCAGGCTGTAGCTGCTTTAGTCATTATCATGGAAAGATGTTATAAAGTATGAATGAATTACAATTTTTATAGTTTTAATTTCTAATCTAGATAAAAGCAGATATTATAATGTTAAGCTTTATTTTGAATAATGATGAAACTGGTGAATGGGAATAATATATTTAAGATGTAGTGTTCTGTAAGTACCATCATAATATTCTTAATTAAGTTTTCAGTTTTCTGATAGGAAACTCTATAGTCATAATCTTTTTTTTTTTTTTTTAAGAATTAGAAACAGCTCTAAAGGGAACTTCTAGGTGTCAACTTTGTGGTAGTATTTATAGAAGGTGAAATTTTGCTTATTTCATTGGAATTTGTTCTTAAATTGAAATATAGTCTTTTTCAGAGTTCACACAAAGCTGTTCAGAAATATATAGCAATAATTATATTTTCTTTGTTCAAGAAGATGGCTTCACTTAAAATTGTTTTCAAATTCCAACTTTCTTTTAAATTTTAGTAGAGAATACAATGTATTTTAGGTTTTACTTTAGAGTAATTATAATATCTCTTTTACTTTTTAGAATATTATGTAAATTCCTATATATAGTGGCAATAAATTTCCTTACATTCAGAAGTGTGTTTTCTCTGTTGATGTTCTACTCTAAAAATACATATCATAATGATTTGGTTTTATTCATGCCGTTACTTGATTAGCTGACTAACTTAGCCTTCTAGTATGTAGTCCTGTATGTGTTCTCTTTGATTTGGTCCCACACAGAATATATGTAAGTCTTTGATTAGGAGCAGGATTCCTCCAGTCCTTTTCTTCTGATAGTGAATGTTGAGACTTCAGTAGTTAACCATAATAGCTAGTGATTCTTGAAGTTCAAGTTCTTGAAATTTACAAAACGATTTAAAGAAATTCTGAGTAGCTTTGGTAATTGAGTAATTCTAGAAATACTTAGTAAAATTGTTACTCTTAATACATAAACATTTGTTAAAATTCAACTAATATCTGTTTGTACTTATATGCCAGCCTTTGTGCTGAATGCTTGATACACACACACACACACACACACACACATATTACCTTGTGAGCTACTGATATTCACCCTATAAAATAGGTCCCTGTCTGAGCTCTGATATGTCTTTTGAAAAACTGAGGTTTAGGGAAATTAAGATGCTAATAAATACCATGATTCAAACTCAGATAAGCCAGGTTAAAGAACCTGAGGTATAATATACACTCATCTGATTCAACTTAAGTTTTAAGTTAAAGATACTGTTATTTCCTTAGCCATCTAAATTTTATTAGATAAAGATTACCTTCATTATTTTTATATTGATTTGACATACCATATAAATTTTAAAATACTCTTGTGACTTTTGGGTGTATTGTTACTGTTGTTGGCACCTTAATAGCCTTTTCCAAAAGAAGTTGCAAGTTTAAAGTGTGAGGGGCCTTCAGAAAGTTCATGGGAAGATGGAATCAAAAGATAAATGTAGTCTGCTACAAAAATAATCTTGAAATCCATGATTTGTTTTTTCATAATGCACATTTTCCATGAAACTTTTAAAGACCTCTCATATTTTGCTGGTTTAAAAAAAATAGGACATCACCAGCGCCGCGGCTCACTAGGCTAATCCTCCACCTGCAGCGCTGGCACAGCGGGTTCTAGTCCCGGTCAGGGCGCTGGATTCTGTCCCGGTTGCCCCTATTCCAGTCCAGCTCTCTGCTGTGGCCAGGGAGTGCAGTGGAGGATGGCCCAAGTGCTTGGGCCCTGCACCCGCATGGAAGACTAGGAGGAAGAACCTGGCTCCTGGCTTCGGGTCAGCGCAGCGCCGGCCATGGCAGCCATTTGGGGATGAACCAACGGAAGAAAGACCTTTCTCTGTCTCTCTGTCTCACTGTCCACTCTACCTGTCAAAAAAAATTTTTTTTTAAAATAGGATATCTTCATAAATGAGATGCTTACAGTAAAATGCCTTTAGCATCTAATTAATGTTAATATTTATAGATATTATTTACATGCAATTACTTAATGAAGTTACTATTATTTATAACAGAGCAATTAAATTTCTTAATCTCACAACATATTTTATATAAATCTTGTATCAGTAAGATTTTTTATGGTAAGACTTATTATCTTCCATATTGCCTATAAAATTATTGTTCTGCAACTTCCAAAAGATTCAAGTAGAGTTTTGCACCTCATTGTTATATCTCCCGTTCTGAGGGTAATATATAAATTTAATTTGAATTATGTCTTGACTTTTGTGATAGTCATTTTCAGAAACATGTCATTCAGAGGCAGGAAACATTTTAAGATTTATGAAAATGTAGTCCTAATATAATTTTTGTAGTATAACCTTTATTCCACATGTAACTTTAAAGTACCTTGCAACTGTCTAGCTTTATCTTTTTACAACTTTTTATTTGTAATTAATCCTGTTAAAGTAATTTTCTGTGGAATGTTCCTGATTATCATTATAATAAGGAGAAAAAATCTTCTAGGATAATGTAGCTCAAAAATTGTATAGTATTCGTATTACAACACATACTTGATAAAAGAGTTGTTAAATGCATTAAAGTATATTTTAAAAGCCAACTCTGTGAAGAAGTGCTATTCTGGCATAGCACTCTAATCACCTATATAAATGTTTTAAATATCCCTTTTTCATAATGAGAAAGATAATCTGAAAAACAAAATGATATATGTTAATTATAGGGCCACTGTTGAAAAGTATTTTTTTTAGCTGTCTTATAAACAAAGCAGTTATTTTGAGGAGTAACAAAATACTGTCTGCTTTTTAATTCATTGAATAACTAAATTTTTGAAGCCCTGTTTCAATTGTCCATTTTATGGGTAAAACATACATATATAATATTTCCCATTTGTCATTGGATAATTATGTTATTTTTGTAGTGAAAGAAGCTGTAGAAATTTATATTCCCAAGATATTGGGGAGGAAGTGGAGATACTTCATGTAGAAGCATAATAAATGAGTTACTTAAGCTGGAAATATACTAAACTGAGTGATTCACACTTGTTGTGAACAGTATCCTTGATTGGGTTCCAGTCAAATAAAAATTGTAGGGGGAAAACATTTTCATTTTTTCTTTTTATAAAAATTTATTTATTTATTTGAAAGGCAGAGCTACAGAGAGGCAGAGGCATAGAGAAAGAGAGATAGGTCTTCCATCCGCTGGTTTACTCCCAGATGGATGCAACAGCCAGAGCTGAGCCAATACAAAGCCAGGAGCCAGGAGCTTCTTCCCGGTCTCCCATGTGGGTGCAGGGGCCCAAGCACTTGGGCCATCTTCTATTGCTTTCCTAGGCCATAACAGAGAGCTGGATCAGAAGTGGTTCAGCTGGGACTCGAACCGGCGCCTATATTGGATGCTGGCACTGCGGGCAACAGCTTTAAGAGTTATGCCACAGTGCCAACCCCGAAAACATTTTCTAACTAGTTGCTTACATTTTCCTTTAAGTCCTTGATTAACTTCTAGTCTAGGTACAGATATAAGTTTGTAAAATAAAGAGTTATTGCTATTATTGAATCTTGTATTATTAATTGTATTTTTTCTGAGTTTTTTCTTTCTTTAGTAGTTTGTAATATAGTGTAACAGTGTCGACAATCCTATAAAATATCTGCTAGCTACATTTATTTAATACTCAGCATGTGTTATACATTCTCCTCCTTGACTACTCACAAACATGCCTCTGAGATGAGTCCTGTTTCCTGCTCTGTGGGTCAGACTTTATCTTTTTTGAAACATAAGAAATATTCAGAGACAAGAAATATACAACTCCAATTAATTCTGTTTTCACACACCTAGATTTTAAGGTTCCAAATAGAAAGTTTCATTGTCAATTTTAAAAATGTTTTAATTTTCATTTATTTATTTTAGCAGATTTTCAAAGTGAACACTAAATTTAAAAACATGTACTGCGTGGTGTTTTTGTATCATGTAGTCTAGTTTGCTTTTCTTCCTTATTCCCCTACCCCCACTTTTTTCCCCACATTATCCACAACATATTTTTATCTGATTTTTGCCTTTTACAAAGTAAAATGTAAAAGATTTTACAAAGTAAAATATAAAAATGTAAAATGTTTTTTAATTGGAAATTATTTTTTCTGTGTAGACAGCATTGAAAACTACCATTTATTGGCCAGTGCCGCGGCTCAATAGGCTAATCCTCCACCTGCGGCGCCGGCACACCGGGTTCTAGTCCCGGTCGGGGCACCGGATTCTGTCCCAGTTGCTTCTCTTCCAGTCCAGCTCTCTGCTGTGGCCCAGGAAGGCAGTGGAGGATGGCCCAAGTCCTTGGGCCCTGCAACTGCATAGGAGACCAGGATAAGCACCTGGCTCCTGGCTTCGGATCAGCTCGGTGCACCGGCCACAGCGCGCCAGCCGCAGCGGCCATTGTGGGGGTGAACCAATGGAAAAGGAAGACCTTTCCCTGTGTCTCTCTCTCTCACTGTCCACTCTGCCTGTCAAAAAAAAAAAAAAAAAAAAAAGAAAAAAAAACACCACCATTTATTGTGTGCAGTAAATATTGGGGAGTGTGTTAAATATTTTGTATGCAAAACTTTCCATTGCAGAGACTGTAATCCACATACTGTATATAAAGAAAATTGAGACTCAGAGAAATTAAATTACTTGCCGGAGTGTAGATTGATCTGATTATCATTTAACTGTATTGTATTACTGATGTAGAAATGTCAGTTTTCTGTGTTTTTTCTGTATACTAATGATCTTACTCTTTTAAGTGAAATGTAGCAATATGAATTTTGTTTTTCAGCTGTGAGTAGCAGAGTACCCACTGGTTCAAACAGTTCTCAGACCGCAGATCGTTTTGCACCTGAATCCTGTTCACAGACTTCAAGCAATGTGGCTTCCCAGTCTGTCCCCTCTGTGTATCCATCAGTTGACATTGATGCACATGTGAGTAGATTGCTTTACTTAAATTTATTTTATATGCTATGATTTTCTTTGAAAAGGGAAATTTTTGTATCTTTATGGGGAAAAGAAATATTATTTGCTTTTCAATTGATAACCCCCTTGTAAAAACAAACAAACAAACAAATCTAAAGGTCAGTGTTGTAGCCTAATGGGTAAAGACACCACCTTTGATGCTGGCATTCTAGTTGAGTCCTGGCTGCTCTGCTTCCAATCCAGTTCCCTGCTAATGCACCTGGGAAAGCAGCAGCAGATGGCCCAGGTGCTTGAGCCCCTGCAACCACGTGTGAAACCCAGTTAAAACTCTTGGCTCCTAGCTTCAGCCAGGCCCAGTGCCAGCAGTTGGGGCCATTTGGGGAGTGAACCAGCAGACGGAAGCTCTTTCTGCTCTTCCTCCCTCTCTCTCTGCAACTCTGACTTTCAAATAAATAAAATAAGTCTTTAAAGAAATTTTTTTTTCTTCTAGACTGAAAGCAATCATGACACAGCATTAACATTAGCTTGTGCAGGTGGTCATGAAGAACTTGTGTCTGTACTCATTGCAAGAGATGCTAAAATTGAGCACAGAGATAAAAAAGGTAAGAAGTAAAATCTGACTATAATTACACCGGAAAAGAGTTGTAGCCTTTTCACTGTAAGTAAGTTGTTCCAAGACCATCTCAGTGATTAGATATATATGTACATTTCAGTTAGGACTATCCAGATTCATTAATCTGCATAGGCAAATAATTCTCCAGTAATTAAAAACATGACAGACATCAGTGAATTAGATCAATAATTGGTTGCTTCTTAACCCAAAGGCACTTCATACAGAGGCATCAAAGCTTATTATGGGCATTAATTTCAATAGTTTTTATTGACTTGCCATTTACTTTTTTCAATAGTCTATGGAGTTTTGTTACTAACAAAAGATTTAGAACAATTTCATACTAAATGGTTATTTGTATCTGCTCAGAAGGCTTTTTTTCTTTATTAAAAGGAAATTTAGGCCAGCGCCGCGGCTCACTAGGCTAATCCTCCGCCTGCGGCGCCAGCACACCGGGTTCTATTCCCGGTCAGGGAGCCGGATTCTGTCCCGGTTACCCCTCTTCCAGGCCAGCTCTCTGCTATGGCCTGGGAGTGCAGTGGAGGATGGCCCAAGTGCTTGGGCCCTGCACCCCATGGGAGACCAGGAGAAGTACCTGGCTCCTGCCATCAGATCAGCGCAGTGCGCCGGCCGCAGTGCGCTAGCCGTGGCGGCCATTGGAGGGTGAACCAACGGCAAAGGAAGACCTTTCTCTCTCTCTCTCTCTCTCTCTCTCTCTCTCTCACACACACACACACACTGTCCACTCTGCCTGTCAAAAAGAAAAAAAAAAAGGAAATTTAGGCTGGCACCGGGGCTCACTAGGCTAATCCTCTGCCTGCGGCGCCAGTACCCTAGGTTCTAGTCCCAGTTGGGGTGCCGGATTCTGTCCCGGTTGCTCCTCTTCCAGGCCAGCTCTCTGCTGTGGCCCGAGAGGGCAGTGGAGGATGGCCCAAGTGCTTGGGCCCTGCACCTGAATGGGAGACCAGGAGGAGGCACCTGGCTCCTGGCTCCAGATCAGCACAGTGCGCCGGCCGCAACGCACCAGCTGTAGTGGCCACTTAGAAGGGTGAACCAACGGAAAAAAGAAGACCTTTTTCTCTGTCTTTCTCTCTCTCACTGTCTAACTCTGCCTGTCAAAAAAAAAAAAAAATTTTTAAAATAGTGGATTTTTAAGTAAGTAAAAGATGTAAATTTGTTTGACATTTGTATATTCTGGTTTAGGTTTCACACCACTAATCCTGGCTGCAACAGCAGGGCATGTTGGGGTTGTTGAAATTCTTCTGGATAAAGGTGGAGATATAGAAGCACAGTCTGAACGAACTAAGGATACTCCGCTTTCATTGGCGTGTTCTGGTGGACGTCAGGAGGTGTGTTAATGTTGACTTTAATTTTGTAAACATTTTTGCTTATATTTTTTCAATATGCATATGATTATAGTGTTTTAGATACATGAATAAATTTTACATGCATTTTAACACATTCCATATACTTTCAGAGAAATGGGGTTATGTTGAATGGAAATGCTCTTTTTAGGAATCTGTTTCTTGCCCTTAAGTCCAAATTCTCTTTGTTTTTACACTTATTGGAGTTGGATGAACCCCAGTACTAATATATATGACATAAATTCATTGCTTAAAATTTGGCAAATAGGGTAGCTCGTTATTTCAATATAAGGGATTTCAAAGCTGTTAATTTGAATCCATTTCTCTAATGCTGATACTTAAATATTTAGGGCCAATGAAAATAATTAAAATGTGAGAAATTTGGAACAGAAAGTTGTAGGTTCTGTTTCTTTGTGCTTCCTTCATTATAAGTTGATCCTTTAGTGTAACCTGGCTTTCTCTGTTAACATTTTACTTTTTAGGTAGTAGACTTGCTACTGGCTCGAGGTGCAAATAAGGAACATAGGAATGTGTCTGATTATACACCACTGAGTCTAGCTGCGTCTGGAGGATATGTTAATATCATTAAGATTCTGCTTAATGCGGGGGCAGAAATTAATTCAAGGTATCACCTGTGCATTCATTTTATTACTCATGATTAGTATATTATTACCTTGGAGTTAGTGTCTTCTCCTGGATCTTTGGACAGATATCATTTTGAACTAAGACAGTTCTGAAGTTGCAAAGTCAGTTCTTCTTATAATGTACCTGTAAGTAATATAAGTAATCTAAGCATATTTCAGTAATGTGGGTGCTTTTAATAGGTGTTGCTTCAAAAAGTACTTTGTTATATGTAGTTGGAAGTTTGTAACCCCTAAATAGGAGCTACGTTTTTAGTTGTGAGATTTTCCTGTTATTTATTGTTGATCTAAACTAGGGGTGGGGAACATCAGCCCATGAGCCATATAATACCCACAGAATATTGGTCTGGTCCTGTTAGCGTAGCCACAGGCAGGACTTCAAATTCAATAAATCTGTTAGCTGGCTAATTTTTAAGTTGATAATTTTGTATGGCTTACAAATGATAGTATAAATATCAATATGGCCCTTAACAGAAAAAAGGTTCTCTACCCCTGTAAAAAATAGAAAATCTCTTCATTGGTGTTATAAATCTTTCTTTTTACTGAAACATTTTCATGTTTAATGCTTTACAAAAAGCATAAGTAACATATTACAATTTTCTGAGCACATTTTCCCTCCTAGGACTGGGAGTAAACTAGGTATTTCTCCCCTGATGTTGGCTGCAATGAATGGACATGTTCCTGCAGTGAAACTGCTACTTGATATGGGTTCAGACATTAATGCTCAGATAGAGACAAATCGGAACACAGCCCTCACCCTGGCCTGTTTCCAGGGCCGAGCAGAAGTAGTGAGTTTGCTTCTGGACCGAAAAGCCAATGTGGAACACAGGGCAAAGGTAAGCATTTTGTATCTTGTTTGCTATTTCGGATATATTTCTAGTGAAAAGAATGTGATATTTCAACTCAATTGAATGTAATTTTTATTTTTATTGAAAGATTTTTTTTTTTAATTTATTTATTTGAAAGGCAGAGTGACAGAGAGAGAATGAGATCTTCCATCTGCTGGTTAAACCCCCAAATGGCTACAATGTCCAGAGCTAAGCTGAGCCAGACCAGGAATTCCATCGTGGTCTCCTAATAGATAACAGGGCTATCTGCTGCTGCTTTCCCAGGTGTATTAGCAGGGAGCTGGATAGGAAGTGGGGTAGCTGGGACTGAAGCCTGCATTCCAATATGGATGCTAAATGGTTATTTGTATCTGCCCTGAACTGTAACACCAGCCTCATATTACCATTGTTAAGAACCTCAAACAAAAAATTAGTTCATAGATTATAAGATGTAATCTGACCATTTCAGATTCTGACTTTCATGACTGTTTGGCATTTAAAACATAGAAGTTAGTTTTAAAAAAAGTATATAGTCTTTTTTTTCATTTTTATTTTTACTTTGGACAGGAAGGACAGTGAGAGAGAGAGAGAGACAGAGAGAAAGGTCTTCCTTTGCCGTTGGTTCACCCTCCAATGGCCACCGCAGCCAGCGCGCTGCGCTGATCTGATGGCAGGAGCCAGGTACTTATCTTGGTCTCCCATGGGGTGCAGGGCCCAAGCACTTGGGCCATCCTCCACTGCACTCCCGGGCCACAGCAGAGAGCTGGCCTGGAAGAGGGGCAACCGGGACAGAATCCAGCGCCCTGACCAGGACTAGAACCTGGTGTGCCGGCGCCGCAAGGCGGAGGATTAGCCTAGTGAGCCACGGCGCCGGCCCATCCTCTGGGTATCTTCTCACATGCCTCTAACAGCCTTACTTGGGCCAAGCCAAAGTCAGGAGGCTGCAATTGCCCCCAAAGTGCATATTAGCAGGAAGCTAGACTCATAAGTATCCCAGACAGTGCTTGTTTTGTTTTGTTTTGTTTTGTTTTTTGACAGGCATAGTGAACAGTGAGAGAGAGAGACAGAGAAAGGTCTTCCTTTTCACCCCACAATGGCCACTGCAGCTGGCGCCACTGCACTGATCCGAAGCCAGGAGCCAGGTGCTTCTCCTGGTCTCCCATGCGGATGCAGGGCCCTAGGACTTGGGCCATCCTCCACTGCCTTCCCGGGCCATAGCAGAGAGCTGGACTGGAAGAGGGGCAACCAGGACTGAATCTAGTGCCCCAACCGGGATTAGAACCCAGGGTGCCAGCGCCACAGGCAGAGGATTAGCCTATTGAGCTGCGGCGCTGGCCAACCAGATAGTGTTTTAACCACTGCAACTAATATCTGCTCCAAGGTTTGGATTTCTTTGGTTAGAACTGTTGGATACTTAAACCCCTAGAAAAACAGAGCTTAAATGGAATTCCTTATAATCAGACAGCAGCTAATCTGGTAGTAATTTTCTCCCTGAACTTCATTAGTTATGTTTCTTTAAACTCAATGCAACATTTACATTTTTTTAAAAGATTTATTTTATTTATTTGAAAGACAGAGTTACAGAGAGAGGTAGAGACAGAGAGAGAGAGGTCTTTCATCCACTGTGGTTCACTCCCCAGATAGCCGCAACAGCCAGAGCTGAGCTGATCCAAAGCCAGGAGCCAGGAGCTTCATCTGGGACTCTCACGTGGGTGCAGGGGCCCAAGCACTTGGGCCATCTTCCACTGCCTTCCCAGACCATAGCAGAGAGCTGGATTGGAAGAGGAGCAGCCGGGACTAGAACTAGCATCCATATGGGATGCCGGTGCTTCAAGCCAGGGCTTTAACCCACTGTGCCATAGTGCCAGCCCCAATATATTTTTAATCTATGAAATGAGCTATTGTAGTTTTCCATCAGACTTTTCATCATATACGAAAATGAACCTTTCCTGCTATCCAGTTTGTTTTTTTTATTGCAAGTATTCATTGTAAGTTATGAAATTGTTTCTTTTAGTAAAAGGTAATATAAGTGAATTTATTCTAGCATGTCTGACAAAAGGTAACAATTTCTACTTGCTGTTTAGTAAAATTCATGACTGAATATTGCTTAGCTCTTTGAGAGAAAAATCAAAAATGGAATCTCTTCAAAGTCAATTGCTTTAGTCTTTCGAAGAAATTATGTAAGAGCAGATGTTTGGCCCAGCAGGTAAGTCCCACTGGGGATGCATACATCCTGTGCTGGGAGCGCCTGGAGTCGTGGCTGCTCCAGCTTCTTTGTGGTGTGTATACCCTGGGAGGCAGCAGATAATGCTAAAGTGCTTGGGTTCCTGCCATCCACGTAGGAGACCCACATCCTGGCTCCTGGCTTTGGCCTGGCCCAGTCATTTGAATCGGCAGATGGAAGATCTCTGTCTGTTTCTCTGCCTTTCAAATAAAATGAGAGTAAGTAAATAACATTGTTAAAGGTATTTAAAAACAGGTTATGTAATTTAGTTGTGTAAATTATTGGTTTGAACAGACCGGTCTTACCCCATTAATGGAAGCTGCTTCTGGAGGATATGCAGAAGTTGGTAGAGTTCTCCTTGATAAAGGAGCAGATGTCAATGCTCCCCCTGTGCCTTCCTCAAGAGATACTGCTTTAACAATAGCAGCAGACAAAGGTCACTACAAATTTTGTGAGCTCCTGATTAATAGGTGAGTAATTTTCTATTAATATATACAGAACTTCCTGTCATCTCTTTGACTTTTCAGTCTATAAAGTTTAAATTCTTTTAGATTTTTAAGAACTTTTTTCCATGTTATTTTTTAAAAATTAAAAAAAAAAACCTCAAAAATGTTAACTGCTTCGTCTGAGAAACAAACTATGTTAACATTCTTTGCTTATAGGGGAGCTCATATTGATGTTCGTAACAAGAAGGGAAATACACCACTTTGGCTGGCATCCAATGGCGGTCATTTTGATGTAGTTCAATTACTAGTTCAAGCAGGTGCTGATGTGGATGCAGCAGATAACCGGAAAATCACACCACTTATGTCAGCATTCCGCAAGGTAATTTGATGTGCAGGAAAAAAGATAAAAAGTTAATGATTTTAAATCAATTCTAGTTGAAACTGTGACAGAAAGGTAGGTTGATTTTGGATAACTGAATATATTTTAAAAAAGAAAATAACTGCTGTTTTCTATTCTTTAGTGGCCAAACCTAAGAGCGTGTGAAAGTTCGTTATTAGCACCTTTTAAAACTCTCCCGTTGCAATTAAGAACAAATAATACACTATTTAATACGTGCTACAAAAACACTGCATAATATACAGTTTGTGTTTATCTCCTCAGACTCTCCTTTGCTCACTAGACTCTGAAATTACCTTGAATGCACTAAGTTTTTAACTTCCTCAGGTCTTTTGCTCACAAGTTTTCTTTTCCTGAAATGTTTTCCCTTTCTCTTGACCTGGTTTACCTCTGTACTCATCCTTCCCTTTTTTATTTTATATTGTTTTGCTTTAGTTCATATTTTAAATGTCACTTTTCAGAGTCTTTCCTGGTACCCAATTTGAAAAGGATACTTCTGATTTTCTTTACAGTTGAATTTTGACTTTGCCTATCCTACATTGTAGTTATATATTCAAACATGCCTTTACCCTTGCTTTCATGCCTATATTGCCAACTAGACTGGAAGGTTCCAGGAGCAAGAGTCATGACTGTCTTTTTTACCACTGTTTATGCGCAGTCATTTAGGACGGTACCTGACATGCACTAGGTAGTCACTAAATAGCTGTTAAATGACAGTAATGTAAAAAAAATAGTTTTTCTATACAATTCTTTAGAAAGTCTTTTTCTTTTAATAAAAGTATAACTTACATGGAGTGAAAAACATGAATCTTAAGGCATATAGTTCCATGAATTTTAATAAATGCATATATCCTTGTAGCCCATACCTCATAAAGATATAAAATACTTCCACAACCCTAGAAGGTTCCCTATTGCCCATTTTTTTATTTTTTTTATTTTTTTATTTTTTTTTTATTTTTTGACAGGCAGAGTGGACAGTGAGAGAGACAGAGAGAAAGGTCTTCCTTTGCCGTTGGTTCACCCTCCAATGGCCGCCGCGGCTGGCGCACTGCGGCCGGCGTACCGCGCTGATCCGATGGCAGGAGCCAGGTACTTATCCTGGTCTCCCATGGGGTGCAGGGCCCAAGCACTTGGGCCATCCTCCACTGCACTCCCTGGCCACAGCAGAGAGCTGGCCTGGAAGAGGGGCAACCGGGACAGAATCCGGTGCCCCGACCGGGACTAGAACCCGGTGTGCCGGCACCGCAAGGCGGAGGATTAGCCTAGTGAGTTGCAGCGCCGGCCCTGCCCATTTTTAGATAGTGTCCTGCCCCAGTTAGTTTGGCTCCAAACTGATTTTTGAAGATGTTTTAGAACCTTAGTAAGAGGGAAAATTATTTTAAAATAGATGCGCTTAGAATTGATTATAGATTATTCAGCCCTTGATAATGGCATTGAGAAAGTGTTCTATCCAGATTCAGATCAATAGGGCTCAGAAAAATGTGCTAGTGCACCTTGCTTAGTTGAGTAATATAAAGCCAAATGAATGTTTTAAAGTTTAAACTATCCTCTTCATTTTAGGGCTAATATTTCTTTTATACTGAGTTTCATTTCATACTACCAATTTTTATTAGTTAATTTATTCTAGAAGATACTATTTTTCTCAGAAGTTTTTTACAAAGACAGTGACTGAATGACAAAAAGTGGCCACCTTCCTCCTCCCAACCCTTATTCTAGACTTTAGAGAGGATCACTTGGGCCTTGCAGTCATGCCCTGTTCTGTCACTACACTGATGCTCAGCAGTAAGAGTTTCTCATATTCTTGCTATACAAAGGAATAAATGGCAGATCTCATGTAGCTTTTGTTCTCAGCTTGGCCCTTGCTTCCACGATCTGTGGTCTGAGAACTGTTTGAACCAGTGGGTACTCTGCTACTCACAGCTGAAAAACAAAATTCATATTGCTACATTTCACTTAAAAGAGTAAGATCATTAGTATACAGAAAAAACACAGAAAACTGACATTTCTACATCAGTAATACAATACAGTTAAATGATAATCAGATCAATCTACACTCCGGCAAGTAATTTAATTTCTCTGAGTCTCAATTTTCTTTATATACAGCATGTGGATTACAGTCTCTGCAATGAAAAGTTTTGCATACAAAATATTTAACACACTCCCCGATATTTACTGCACACAATAAATGGTGGCGGTCTTTTTCTCTTCTTTTTTTTTTTTTTTTTTTGACAGGCAGAGTGGACAGTGAGAGAGAGAGAGAGAGAGAGAGAAAGGTCTTCCTTTTGCCATTGGTTCACCCCTCAATGGCCGCTGTGGCCAGCGCGCTGTGGCTGGCACACCGCGATGATCCAAAGCCAGGTGCTTCTGGTCTCCCAAGCGGGTGCAGGGCCCAAGCACTTGGGCCATCCTCCTCTGCACTCCCAGGCCACAGCAGAGAGCTGGTCTGGAAGGGGGGCAACCGGGACAGAATCCGGCGCCCTGGCCAGAACTAGAACCCCGTGTGCCGGCACTGCAGACGGAGGATTAGCCTAGTGAGCCGCGGCGCTGGCTGATCACTGTTATTTCTCATGCAAAAATATCTAGTTTCAGAGAAAAAATTATTTGATTGGTTTTCAACTGTATTTTAGATCTTACAAACTGAAGATATTTGTATCCAAATATTTGGCAAACCATGAAAAATATTTTTGTAATGTATATGAAACAATGAAATTATAAATCTTTAATGTGTTGTTGGATGTTTGTTTTATTTTGGTTGAGAAACGTGTAAAACAGACAAGTATAAAAGTTGCCGCAAAACTCATGACTGAAATGGCAGTGGCAAAGCGATTACCTCAGATCTTTGTCTCACATGGAAGAAGAACTTCCAACAGACAAAGTAGGGAGAAAAGCAAAATGTATTTAAAGCAAGATTCATCTAAGTCAGAGACCTCTTGGTGGAGTGCCCAGGCTTGGGGCTCCAAGATAGGCAAAACCTGAAGAGACTGGTGGCACTAGGGCTGTTAAGCACTATTTTGGGGAAGAA